TGTTTATTCCTCTGTGCAATTATCTGTTACTGACTTTTTTATAAGTCTGAATTTGTTTTTCTTTTATCCATGCTAGACTGCTCCGTGCAATTCTCATCAGTACCTGGGTGTTTTCAAATAAGGTTCTAATTTAAGGTCCAACTTCTGCCCAAAATTTTATTTTGAATTTTGGGTTGAGCTAAACTTAATCTTGACCAATATAAGATGTAGAATCATGAAATACAGCTCGTCAAGCTTAATTGTTAAGCTGAAACCTGAAATTTGATCGTAAAATATATCATTGTAAGAAATTTGCTCCAATTTCTCTTCATTCTCCAAATCTTCGTCTCAAAGGTCATGTAATATACTTTTCATTGAAAATTGACCGAAATGTTTATGAAAGCAGCATCGAGCACTAAATTACCATATAATTGAAAACATTTTACCCTTTTACATCCTGCAGAACTAAAAACGTCGAGGCAAAATTCACCCGTCATGAAAGAGATCCGAGGCTTATTTTTCTTGTCCTTTTAACAGTTCTATCTGTCAAAATGCGCACTGTCTTTTGTTAAGAAGAAAAAAAACTTCACATTCTTGGAATATTGCAATACCAAATGGATCAGAATCATCGAATTTTTAAACTTCAGTGGGCATGTATACCTATGGAGTAGAGATAAAGCCAGGAAGAGTTAGCTAAAGATTTACCAACTGATACCCTGTGGATTTATAGCGCTGATCCTGAAAATATGACCTCTGTTTCTGTGAATCAGTTCGATTTTTCCGGGGAAAATCGAAGTTTACCTCAAAAGCATAGCTTTTCTAGAAGAGACAATTTTCCGGGGAAATCTGTGCAAGATGGGAAAATTCAAGGTAGTTTTCGATTTTGCAGCCATACATACACAGGAAACTGTGTATTGCACCCCTATTAAAATTTCTTTTCTTTTCTGAATACCAAGGCTTTTCCGGTCCAGTTAAATTAAGGTTATTCGACGGACGCCATTTTTTGTATCAGAGCGACGTGCGATATATTGCATAGATTTGTTCCATAATTTCAGCTACTCGTCATTTTTTTCGAATTTGAGGTTGTACTTCTGTTGTCATGAGTCTAAAGAATTCATGTACCAAATTTGACCAAGAAATTCAATGTAAAAGGTGTGGTTTTTTTAGAGGAAAAATATTACATTCGAGTGCAATTTCGATATCGGTATCGAATGCGATATTTTTCCTCTAAAAAACCACACCTTTATAACGTTGAATTTCTCTGTTTTTGGTACACAGAAGTGCGATCTCAAAATTCGAAAAAAATGACAAGTAGCGGAAATTATGGAACAAATCCATGCTAAATATATCGCATGTCGCTCTGACCTAAAAAATGGCGTCCGTCAAATCACCTCAGAATCGATTGATTAGTCACCGAGATAGCGTTTTACGCCACGTCCGCCATCTTAGATTTTTGAATTTTGGAAATTTGACTGAAAATTCGAGTTCCCCATCAAAAAATATGACCAGACACCAAATTTCACTTAAATTGGAAGAATAGAGCACCTACAGGACAAAGACAAGCAGGTTTATTTAATGGTAACCTCTATCTTGTGATACATCTCTAGAAAGAACATTAAAAACTACGAATTTTGGCGCAAAGCGCAGATCGATATCCTAATTTTTGACGGAGTTATGAAAGGTCAAAGGTCAAATTTGACCTATTTTCAAAAAATCATAACCTCGGTTCAAATTATCCTAGAGAAAAAAATAAAACGGAAAAATTTACCAAATTGTAAGCACTTTTAAGTAAAAATCACAGAAATCACTTCAAACTAATTTTAAGGGAGGGCTTGGACCCCCAAATACGACGGTTCAAAGGTCATACGATTTTCCCGCAAAACGAGCCAATTTCTCCTTACTTTGCCTCAAAATTGTCTCGGTAAGTTCAAAAATGCGTTTTCAAGTCTCCATTTCGTGCAAAGTGTAAAAAAAAAACGAAATTTGAACGGTCATTTTAATTACGTTTTTCATTTTTCGAACTTTGCATGAAATTTGAAATTTTGAACTTTCCGAGATAATGTTGAGGCAAAGTAAGGGGAAATTGGCTCGTTTTGCGGGAAAATCGTACGACCTTTGAACTGACATATTTGGAGGTCCGAACCCTCCCTTAAAATTAGTTTGAAGTGATTTCTGTGATTTTTACTTTGAAGTGCTGACAATTTGGTAAATTTTCTCGTCTAATTTTTTTCCTACAATAGGTAATTTGAACGGAAGTTATGATTTTTTGAAAATAGATCAAATTTTACCTTTGACCTTTCATAACTCAGTCAAAAATTAAGATATGATCTACGGTTTGCGCCGAAATCCTTAGTTCCTAATGTTCTTTCCAATCATGTATCATAAGGTAGGGTACCGTTTGAGAAAAAAAGTTGGGGACCCCTTGCCCCCCTGAGGGAGGGACAAAAATTTCGATCCCCCTAGGAGATGATCCCCACGAAAATAGAAACATTCTTAAAATTTCGTTTTTCCATCTCTAACCGTTCAAATGTTACCCGGGAGGGGGGGGCGGGGGCGGGTACGGACTTTTGGGATGCCCGGTATAGATGTTTATACATGTACATATACACACACACCGGGTGTTCCAGTAAAATTCTTCCAGTTGAATTCTGGAAGCTGAATTTTTACGCTATTTCTTTGAGGACATTGGCTTGATAAGTGCTTGCAAAGCTTCTAGCAGTCTTAAAGTAACATTCGATGTTTGAATACCTCAACAAAATGATTTTTTCCGATGATGATACAAAATGATTTCAACATTGTCATTTTTTCTTTCGCATTTAAATTTCTCTATGAACTAGGACGTAAAGAGGGTAATGCGCATGCACAATTTAGAGTGTAGGCCGGATATATCATCCAATATTGTTCTTAATACGCGAATAGGTTTCAGGTTGTGTTATGTTTTTTATGAAAATTAATACAGAGTTATATTTGGGGTGGAACTCGTGAAAATCAAATTATGGAGTAGGTAAGTGTTAAATTGCCTCTTAGCTCTACTTTGTCTCATTTATGTCATGCAGGTCACCAATAAAAGCAGGAGTTGGACTGTTTTGTGTGAGATTATTCTATCATTTCTGCGAGCAGTTTAGGAAAACTATATAAGCTGGGCTTTGAATAATATTTGAGTGTGCATGGAAGAGCTGAGATCACCAGTTTGAAATATTCATTATACATTTGATTGTGTGATTATTTTCCATTTTTCCATTAGTTCTCACAGTTATACCTTGTGTATGATTGATTCAAAAGTTATCTCTGATGACGCTTATCAAATAATTTTTATATATGCGACATACGTGAAGTTAAAATTGATACTTCATAGTACACTGACCTAATGTCCTCAAAATTGTTCTTACCCCTAGAATTAATATTTGTAATTCTCTGATTTTCTTGTGAGGAAGGGAAACTCCTTTTAAAGCAAAGCCATCTTTGATGCATCCTCCCACAGTATAAATTATCGCTATTTTGAAAGACTGATAATGTAGGTTAATAAATTTCAAATATTACAGATTTAATTTTATTTTGCTATTGTGGCTTTGCTCTTCATTAAAATTGGACTGACTTTTTAATCCATTTCAATCTAATCTCTGAGTTATGAGTGTTTTCAACTAGGTATGGGTAGAATTGCAGTATTCGTATCCAGTATCTTCTTTGTTGAGGGAGCAGCTGTTTGTTGGTACAAATTGTACCCTCAGAATGAAGTATTGTGTGGTAGTCATCTGATGGTAACTAAAATATTGGTGGGGTGAATAATTTCTCCAGCACGTGTCAACGTAAAAATCGCGTACTTTTTGCAAGGTCGCTGTAATTTGACTGCTACGAGCAAAATAATCATTTGAACGTACTTGTGCTATAAGGAACTATGTATATGTAGGGTTAATATGCAACACGGTGTTTTTAAGCACAAATCCGGCCTAATGGTCATCTCATTGAAATTTTTTAGGAAAAACTAGTTTATATGATGTACCTAAAACCCGCTGGAGCCCCGCGTTTCTCAACATCAATTATGTCTATTTTCCAAAATAAGAGATACAATTTACCAGGAAAACTGGAAAAATTCTTTAAAATTTAAGAAACATTGGAAAAAAAGATCATATCTAGTCATAATTGTTCCTGTAACGCCAGGTATGGTGTCCAGTTACCAAAAAACCATAAAAAGAACAGTACCTTGCACTGCTGTAGAAAGGTGTCCCATTATTTATCATCTAAGGGACAAAGGTGCGCTTATACAACACTGGTTTTGTAGCTTTTTCTGTTACTTTTTATTTTTTTTAACATCACATTATTAAAATATTTAAAATTACATTGTGAACCTGCTGCTAATCGATCAACCTATCTTCATGTTTTCTTTTCTTTCTTAATTTACAACAACAATTTATTTTTATTTCCCTCAAAGCAAATATTTTACTCCATTCATCTGCTGAAATCTTTCCAAGAGATGTGATCCATCTCAGGAAATTGTTTATTTTCATTTTTTTCTTGTTAAAGAAATCCTTTTCTTACTTATTATTTTCTGATGCTTGAATTCCACTCTATTTCTCTAATTTCCTTGTGGTCTATTTACTTGCCAAGTGGTATGCCGACAGTACAAGATTTATATTTTAGAGTTAACTATTTTGCTTTTCTTTGTATGATACTGTAAATTTTACCGCTACTTGTTCCAAGCATTCTCACTAAATCTGAATAAAATGTCAAGGACAAGGTTTATTTGATTTTCACCCTTGTGCCCTCCCTCCATTCCCCCTCCAACCTTTTCTTCTCGCTCTTTGTATGCTTAGGTACCTAGTACTCACTCTTGTTTCTTTTTGGAATTACAGCTACTAGTCGTTATACGAAAGAAGCTTTTTTGCCAAAAAAGTTACGAAAAAATTTACAAACGAAAATAATTGACAAAGAGAGGACCCTCTCACACAAAATACTCTTCTTAAAATTGAGAATTGATGAACTAAAATAGTTCTAATATCCAGAAGAATTTTAAAGACTACAGAAAAAATTAAAAATCGTATTTATTAATGAGTCGCATCAGGTATTTTACAAATCTTTACATTTTAATACATTTTTTTCACAAAGATATTGCACAGAGCCATTGCCATAATTGTGAGAGGTGCAGGCCAAATTGACACATTGAATATTATGCAGCGTTAGTCCTTGAACAGAAGTTACATCATTCGCGTGGAACTAGGCTTCAGGGGCGAGATTAAGCACAGCTGTAAGGAGTCCGACTCGAGCAAGAGAGGCTATCTGCTGAGGTGTGGAGCATGATTGATTTGATCCGACTCCGTTACTGGAAAGAAAGAAAGAAAGAAATAAATAAAGAAAATACGTATAACTTTCGGAAACCTCGCGATAGTCCAAGCTCTCATGAGTCCAAGTTGTGCTCAGCTCAGGGGAGGGGCAGAATTGGACCAAAATCCGATATTTTCGGGTTTTTGAACGCTTATAACTTTTGAACAAAAAATGCCAGAGATTTGGGGAATGTTCCTAGGTCAAAGGGAACTGCTTTTTGGCGTGGGATTAGTCCCACATCTTAAGCCGTAAAATAGTGGGTCAGAGTCTGATAAGTCTCGCTAGTCATAGCACAAAGTATGAGCAAAATAAAACCAATAAAAATTAACATAAAATATAGGTTGTACCTACTCAGGCGCATTTTTAAAGGATTTCGGTGGTCCAAGATTGCGTCCCCTAAGGCATTCCCTGCTCGTTGGGGGTGTCCTATCCTGACCTGTATCGCTTGAAATGATTTTAAAAGTATTTAAAATTACATTTTGATTAATTCCACGCGTTTGCCGGGCATTAAATAGAGTCTCGGCAATTTCGCGAAAAAATCGAAAATTGGGCAATAAAGATGGCGTCGGGACGGACTCAGAACATCACCCAAAAATTCTGAAAAAGAATTGAGCGTTATTTTTATTCCAAAACGCAACATTTTAGCACTAGCAATCGTGGAATTTCGAAAAAAGTTCAAAAAACGGTCCACCCTGCCCCCCCCCCCCGAAATTTTGGGTACGCCAAAAAGTAGTTCCTTTTGACCTAGGAGCATTCCCCAAATTCCAAATCTCTAGCATTTTTCGTTCAAAAGTTAAAAGGGGGATCCCGGACTATTGGATAACCCTGTATTTCTCCCCAAGTCCCTACTTTGTTACAGAGTAGGTTGTAGCGCCGAGGATACTAACCTGTTGAATTAAGATTGCTCCTCGTTCTCAGCACCTACACAAAGACTCGTTGCAGCATCGAAAGGTCGAGGACAAGTGTGCAATCGGGGTCTTCCATTTTGACAACTAAAGTACTTCGTCGGCTCTTTCGGATGCGGGTAATTTAGCGGCTTATCTGAGTCTTGGTTGTTCCCACTCGGTTGCGGACAGGTAAAACCAAGGAAACCTAGAAAAGTTGAGGTGAACAATAATCAGAAAACATGATGGGATAGAAAGAGTTCTTTCATTTCGAGTGAATACCTGAGGATTCTTATCGTGTAAGATTGAATAAGTAGTGAAGAACGTAACAAAAGAAAATGTTTGAGGGCAAACTGCAGGTCGTTATCTATCAGCGTTTCAAAGTGGCGACCGGTAAAATTTTAAAATCACGGAAAATTGATATCTCGGTTCGGATGAAAGTTGGTATAAGGTTTTGGTATAAAGGGTTTATTTGTCAAGGAAAGAATGACTTTGCCATCAAGAATAAAAAATAAAATTGTTCCACTATTTACTTCTATGCTGACAACTTTAAAGATGAAGCAAATTCGGCAAAAGCAAGAAGTAGCGTACGTTGTCGCGAGCGGAATTCCCATACTACTGCGCTAATAGGCCAAGCGAAAGTTGCAGACGGACGATGTATGAACTATTACCTATGTTAGGTGGTCCGGCAGCAACATACCAGGGACCAGTTCTAGAACTCGTCCCTGAACATACCCACCACCAGTCGCTGGAAAACAATAGAAAATAGTAGTTGCGTATGTTGCCAGAGAGCGCGCTGTGAGTGCCTCTGTTTCAATTTCTTAGCATTGAGTTGGGCTTCCTGCTCCAGCCCACTATACTCTCTGAAAGGGCAAGGCGGATGAAGAATGGTGGTCGCATTTCGCACCCTCTGGACGTCACACGGTATCGGTTACATGATGGGCCGGCCGAGGCCAGGGGGACCGGCTCAACCTCGGATTGCACGGCAAAACCCGTACCCTCCTGACGTCACAACGCTTCAAGATGGCAGCCAAAATCAAAATGCGACCACCATTCTTAATCCGCCTTGCTGAAAGGGACTCTACCATACTCTACTCTGATGCAGGGTAGTCGTGCGATTACGTGCTGGTGATCCTAATCCGTAAACGGACCAAAGACATGAAGGTGGAGCTTTAGAAGAAAAACACAAAGACATTGAATCACGTAGACCGTGCGTCCGGCTCGGTTTAGTACAGGCGGAGCGAAGCAAGTCTCTCGGAGCCCCATGATGGGCGGGCGGGGAAGGGGAGAGAGCGTGTGTCCCAAGCACTCGAAGAGACTGCAGAGAGGCAATGGAGAATTCATGCCCGCGCTCGGTTTTTCACGAATATCTCGTTTAGAGTCCATTTTCAGACAAAATTCCTAAGCAAATAAAGTTTTCGAACACATAATTTTACACCCGAATTGCATTGTTTCATTTTTCCGAACTAATCATGAACCGAGGAGAAAAGCCTCACAATCCGACGAAAATTCACTGGAGCCGCTACTGCGCATGCGCAGATGTGCGCAACTGGGACACACGAACTCATCGATGCGGGTTGGTGTCACCATTCATCGCATGCGAATTTTTCAAAGTTGTCTCGCCTTCCGTAACAAAGGATGCACGGTCTACGTGATTCAATGTTTTTGGAAAAACATGATGCAAGTTCTTGCAAGCTCTCTGATTGGCTAGAGGATTGGCGGCGAAATCGGGGTAAGAATGAAATTCAAATGTAGGGCGGAAACTGAATAAAATTGCGCAAACAGAGTATGACTCGCGAGTCCATTTGCGAAGAGTGCCAAATTCAAGATATTGCCCAAATGGACCAAAGATGCGCCCGAAAATGTGGTCGGAACATGTTGAGAGGATGGACGGGGAAAGGCTTGCCAAGATTTGTATGGTAGGACGACCTCATAGCCAAAGGCAACCCGGACGACCGCCCAAGAGATGGGCACAGAGCTGCCTTTCATCCCCGAAGGACTGTTAAGTGAGCTCTCTCATCACCATCATATTTTACTGATTTAGAGGCTAGACAAACAGGGCGACGGCCCTGGTCAAAAGTTAGAAGAAGAAGAAGAAGAAGAAGAAGAAACAAAGTATACTAGGTTGATTTTTACTCAAATTGACTTACCCACCTATATTTTTTTAATTCTAGGTTATTTTTGGTCCCTCATCGACCGATTAAGGTGATCGTGAAGCTCAAAAGAAGTGGTCGATCTGATCGCATGCCAGTTCGACCACTTCATTTGAGCTTGACGAATCACCCTAATATCATTTGGGAGAAATTGTCATCTAGAGCTGTAACGGCCTGTTTGAACCGGCGGGACCACCATGAGCAATAGAAAAACTAACTTTATCTGAGATCCTTGCTTGTTACCGAGTCGAAGTAGGTTTATCATAAAAAGTCACCCTCCCTCCTTTATTGATTCGTTCGCTTTAGTGACTTAAAACGAGTTTAGAACAAGAAAAGTGCAAAAATCAAGAGTACAAGTTCAAATCAAGTTTCCGATTGCTGCCATGGATTCCCGCGCTAATTTACACACTCACACTAACGCAGAGCGCCAGATCTACGTCACTTCTCCCCCGTGTTGGTAGATACGATACGAGTGCTTCGTCTTTATTTCTTTGAAACGGACAGGTGGGAGCGCATAGGGGTAAGTATTTGTGCCACCACACCTCCAACGTGGGTTCCCCCCAAAAAGCCTGGTGCAGTAGGTCTGGGCTGGAGTAGAGTCACTTTATACTGAGTGTCAAGACAACACCCCCTCATGGAGTCACAAACGGGAATAAAGATTACACAAATTGAACGTTTTTCGTAATCTTTTATCGGCCCATTCTCAAATTTCCTTTCTCCGTTCCTTCTCTTATTCCGTTTGTTCCTTGCCGAACCCGTAATGGAGATGTTGCATGTGTAAGGAATTTGCGATTTGACTGTTAATTCTTATGTAATTGTTCGCGAGAAACACGATGGTGCTACTGGTTTTCTCTGAAATCAACTCCCAAGCTCAAATTAAACTCTCAAGTTGAGGCCAAAATGGAGGGGATATCCCACCCTACCCTGAGAGTCCACGTGTACATCTAGACAAACTCTCCATGCAAAGATAGGGAGCAAATACATTGACAGGGCTGCCACTTTATTTGAGGACTCTAAAACTGAAAACACGGCATCTTTGCTAATGTATTTGCTTCCTATCTTTTCATGGAGAGTTTGTCTTGATGTAGAGGTGGACTCTCAGGGTAGGGTGGGATATCCCCTCCATTTTGGCCTCAACTTGAGAGCTTTTTTTGAGCTTGGGAGTTGATTTCAGAGAAAACCAGTAGGCCCATCGTGTTTCTCGCGAACTTTTACATAAGAATCGACAGTCTAATCGCAAATTCCTCACACATGCAACACATCCATTGTTAACAAGTTTTGTCAGTCAAGCAGGAGTGGATTTCAGGCTTCGGCAGGAAGCTCAGTGTTAGTTTTGATCAAAATAAGTAACGCACTCATGTAGTGGAAGACCCTAGCCAAATTTTTCAGGTTTTTCATTAAAAGTTCAGCATAGTATACTAGGGCACCTATGAAGTTAGTCGCATTGAAATTATGAGCATAAAGGCATGTGCTACTATTGTTTCTACTTAGGAAGTCTAATTTCACCATTCTAATTTTTCTCTCAAGTTTTCGGTAATTTAAGAAGAATAATACAATTTCTCTTTCATTGCTTGTTTTCAAAAATACTCATCAAAAAACACTTAAATGATAATTATCTGCTTGAGAATTTCACCAAAAGTTTGAATAAAAAAGGAGACCAAAGTATCGTTAAGAATAAATTTTGGTGGCCCTCTCCATCTCTTGCCCCAATGGTGCTTTCTGGATGATGCAAAGCAGGAACAATAGTTAACATAATCATTGTAAATAGTCCCTATTTATCGACTTTAATCAAGCTAGAGTTTGACGACCCGCCCATTCAAATTTTTAGTTGTGTAAATAGTTAAAATAAAAACACAAATTGACCGTATGGGGGACTGTACTGTCACAGGTTTAGCAATCCTGCGGACCCCAGCTGGTAGCCCCTGCCTCAAAGGGGGTGGGTAGGCAGGGCTCTTAGCTGTGGTGGAAGCAACCTGTCTAGGAGAGGTAACTCCGAAATCAAACCCTGGTCCTCCAGGTTGGGGGTTCCCAAGTAGCATTTTTCAACGGAAAAATCGCGATTTTATCGCCGATAAAGTCGCGATTATCCTCGATTTTATCGGCGATAAAATCGNCAGATCTGCGGAAAGTACGTCATCTAGGACTTTAGTGGCATGATTTCATACTCATGCTTAGCCTCTCAATGAGGAATAAAGTCTCATTGTAATGTTTATGTATAATGGACCACTAGACAAGGTACGAATTTAAGCATTCTGATACATGTTTCTTAACCAGAATTTCACGTAGAACACGACTCGCGCAATGAAAATTACTAAAACCAACTCCTAACGAAGGTATTAACGTTTTTATTTCACATTGGTCACGAGTAATTTGAACTGCCCGCTCACAAGAAACTCAAAGCTCTGCGTGAGTCAAATCGCGCACTACAATAGTTTCGGCAATCTTCTCTATCGAGCAATGTTCATTTCCCATCATGTGTTGTTCAAACTATAAGCTATTTGCTATAGCTGAGCCAAAGCGTCAAGATTGAGGTTGCCAGATTTTTATATCGCAGAGATTGTCATGATACACGTTTAGCGCGCGATGTGATTCACGTAGAGCATTGAGTTTTCATGAGCGGGTGGTTTGAATTCACGCATCAAGAATCATTAAATATCTTTGTAAGGAGTTGATTTCAATAATTTCCGTTGTGCGTATCGTGTTTTACTTGAAATTTTGGTTAAGAAACATGTATCAGAATGCTGAAATTCGAACCTTGTCTAGCGGTCCATTGTAACATATACTCTTCTCAAACCAGCAGCATTCATATTACTCTGTAATATTAGCTGTGTTCATCTTCAACATTCTACGTCTTAGGTACACTTTTCTCATTTTCATCAGATTTATGAAGGTAAAAAGCAACCCTCTCAAAATTTTTTCTTTCCTTACAGGCGTATTTGTGTTAGGATCAATACTTTCTATGCCTGATGCTTGGAGGATCAACACGATTTGAGATCGAGAGTCAGAAAAATCAAGGCTGAAATTTAAAATCATCCTTGGTAAATCTCATTTTCAT